TATCTGTATGTCAGGTGTGTCACCACCTGCTCCCTTCGTTTCTGTTTACACAACTAATGGTTTTTTTATTCAAACACCTTTTACATGAAATTCAAAATATTTTAGACTTCATTTTCCTTTGTATTAAAGGAACATCTGATGCTTTACCAAATATTATTGACTCAGATAGAATGGGGTTGATTTTTGGCAGTCATTTTCTGCCCTTTAGTTATATGGTCTTATAATAAAATTAGGATGTAACAGATTTAAAGAATTAGGTCAAGGTCAGCATAAATTTGTGTCTTTTTCTCACTATGTAGCCTTGGCTCTCCTAGACCAGGCTGGCCTTAAACTCAGAGATTTGTCTGCCTCTGCCTTCTGAGTGCTAGGATGGTATTAAAGGTGTGTACACTACACTCAGCTCATTTATATATTTTTACAAGCCCTTTAGATTCTTACATATACTGTTTACTAGTTTATTTTGTAAAGGTCTTCTAATATTTAGTAGGCTAATGCAGACGATCTTGGTGTTTAGCATTTTCTTTCCTTTGCTGGGTGATACTGTTCTGAAGATGTTTATAGAAGACAGACTGCCCTGAAACTATGACACCTGCCCATCTCTGAAACTACATGCTGAAACAGTTCTTTTTTGCATGTTTCAGCTAAATCTCTCAGCAGGCATGGTCAAAACCTAGAATCTTCTCTGGGAATTGGCAGGCATGTGTTCCAAGCTCTGCATTTGTGTTTTCTAGCTTGTGGACATTCTGTTAGACATTAGTATGGTTAGCTCCCCATCTCAGTTCTTCTCAAAGGAATTTGTGAGCAGGGGTGTCCAGGGAAGCATTGTTGAAGTTCATAATCCAGAATGCGGAGTTCTGGGCCCCCCTGTAGGTTCTACTGTGGCTAGGGAAGAAGCCTCCTTAGATTTGTGTCTGTTGCTCTCACAGGTGGCTTATAGGGGTCTGGGGATAAAAGGACAAATGATGAGAGTTGGCTCTCTCCACCATGTTGCCTTGCTGTCCTGAGCCTCCTGCCTACACCTTACACATGTGTGCAGTTATGTTTCATGTGGTGCTGTGGCCTGAACCCAAGACTTCATGTGTTCATCCTAACAACTCAAAGCCCTGAGTCAGTTTTGGAACACTCGATCCTAAGTGGGATGTCTTCGTGAAATCCTTTCCCTCTGGACTCAGGGAGCCATATGGAAGAGGAGGCAGAAAGTTTTAAGAGTCAGTGGGGCCAGAAGAAACTAAGGAAGCAAGGCCTTTAGACAGCAAGACTGACATATATAAAGTTACAGACACTGGCAGCACACAGATCTTCGCAGGTCTAAGCCAGATGGGGTCCCAATGCTGAGAAGAAAGTAGGTTATTAGTCCCCACCCCCAACCCTTAAGCTGTCTCCAGGTGATAAACTACTTGCAAATGAAAAATTAGTATTCTTTAAAGAATATCAATGGGGAAACAAGCCACACCTAAGGGCAGGCCTCATACCCATCAGAAGATGGCCAACATAAAACGAATTCAATGGTATTTTTGGAGGTGTCATTCTCCCCCTCTCCTCCCCCCAGTGCTTTGTCTGGGCATTTTGTTTTTCTAACCTTATAGACCTTTTGCTTATATATGGCTTCCTATTTTGTTTTTATGGGCTTTCTGTGTATGTGAATGTGAATCTCAGCATCTATATGTGTTGTAATTTCTCTTTGATTTAAAAATCTTGTTTTTCCTATTCTGGTTTGTTTTTTTATTTTATCTTACTACAATTTTTTTTTTTTTTTCAAGGCAGAGTTTCTCTGTGTAGCTTTGTATACCAGGCTGGCCTGGAAACTCACAAAATCGTTTGCCTCTGCCTTCGAAGTGCTGGGATTAAAGGTGTATACCACCACTGCCCGGCCATTTTACTCATTTTTTAGTTACCCGTATTCTAATGGGAGAGAGAAAGAAAGGGTGTGTGAATTTGGATTGGTGGGGAAGTGGGGAAGGTTCTGGGAGTAGTTGGGAAGGAAAACTGTTATCAGAATATACTGCATGAATAATCTATTTTCAACATAAAAAGAAAAAAATAAAAGCTTGGAGAGAGAGAGAGAGAGAGAGAGAGAGAGGGAGGGAGGGAGGGAGGGAGGGAGGGAGGGAGGAAGAAGAAAACAGGCCCACAAGCCATGAGGATCAAGCTAGTAAGCAACATTCTTTTATGGTCCCTGCTTCAGTTCCTGTATCCAGGTCCTGGCCTTGAGTTTTCTGCCCTTACTTCCCTGGATGATGGACTGTGGTCATGATGTAGAAACCAAATATCCATCCCTGCCACTGCCCCCCCCCCCCCAGAAAACCTTATATATTATAGAACCAGCCCCCTTGGGCATTTACTATTAATCCTATCACAGATCCTGAGGAAATGCTAAACCTCCCTAGAGCCAGTCAGTTTTCCACAGTGCCTATGAAGTAATGTACATATTCATATCCATATATCTGACAAATCATTGACTTGCCAAATAGGTAGTTGTGTGTGAAATTGGTTGATGTGAATAGGCCAAGAAGCTAACTGCTCACTTGAGCTTTGATTTGACTGCCCTCTGGTGTTGGAACTTGGAAACTCTAGCTTCAAAGGAAGAAGCAGGTGGTGCTTTCCCTGATTAGGATCCTGTTACTTTTCTTCCCACTGAGCAATCAATAAGGGCCCTTAGATTTCAGTAGACCAACTTCATTGTTCTTGGAGTAAGTTTCCTTTTCTTGCCCATCTGTACTCACATATCCAAATCCTGCTCTGTTGTATCCAAGTGTAAAGTGGTAAAGTCTTTTGTTGCTTGCCTAGGTATTGCATGAGTACTTCACACTTAATACACTCCAACCAGATGTGAATCATCCCATCTCAGCCCATCCCCATTTCTCAGAGTGTTGGCTTTTCTCATTTCACTAATAAGTCATGGTAGAAGTCTGAGAATCAGCATCCTGTGTTTTTTATGCTTAGCTAGAGTCATCATTCCTTCTAAGCTACCACTATTTATTCCTTGCAACACATAAATCCCCCTTTATTCTCCAAAGTGCTCTTCCTGACTACATCTACATGTATTGTGTGTATGTGATTATCATCACCTTTTCTTTCTGTCCTCAGAGTTAAGTGGTTAGCAGGGGCCTGTAGCACCTGTGGTGGATTTGGTTCTCCATTGGGTCTATGGTACGGTTTTTTTTTTTATTTTTTATTTTGGTTTGTTTTTGGTTTTTTTTGGGGGGGGGGTTCGTTCATGACAGGGTTTCTCTGTGGCTTTGGAGGCTGTCCTAGAACTAGCTCTTCTAGACCAGGCTGGTCTCCAACTCAGTGATCTGCCAGCCTCTGCCTCCTGAGTGCTGGAATCAAAGGCACCATCACCACCCGGCTGTAGTATTTAAGACCAGCTGAATATGTAGCATATCTACTGACTGACTGGAGGTGTTGGTATGAACCTGACTTATTTATCTTGGGATTCTGAAGTGCTTTATTTCAGTATTGGTGCTTCATATGAGTTCATTAGATGAACTTTAGATGCTTTTACTTTTTACTAGGGAAATTGTAGAGCAGTATATTTAGACACTTGATAAGCTAGCGCTCAGTTGAACTTTCAGACTAATTGGTCCAAAGTTATTTTCAGAAAAAGCTTTGGGTTTGATCTCTAGCACTTGGAAAGACAGGTAAAATAAAATCGATGCCCTTAGTTTGTATCAGCACTTGTCTGTATGAGGTACTATGCCTTGGGAGGCATGGTGGTGGGCACCTGCAATGCCAATACTTGGAGGTTGAAGTTGGAAGACTGCTGTACATAGTAGCCTGCACTAAGAGTAAATAAGACCCTTCCTGTAACAACAGTGATCAGTGATAACAAAAATAAACAGACAGAAAAGAAAATTGTTACTTAATGAAAGTCTGCTTAAATTAATTAAACTCCTTTGAGCATTCTGTTTATAGGTTTGTTTTTATTCCTTTCTTTGTTCTTTTTATATTTTATAGAGGTTTATACCTTGATCTATTTAGTAAGTTTGATATACTTTGATGTTTCTCCTGTATAAAGTTTTTGACTTCTTCCCCCCTGCCTCTTTTTTCCTTTCTTTTTTCAGTACTAGTATCAAACCATAGTGTCATGCATGCAGAGTGATCACTATAAATCACCTGTATCCTCAGCCCTGCTTAATACCTTATTAATAGGTTTACTTGAATTGATAATGCTTAATAAACAAGTTGGATTTGCAAAAGTCATAGTGACTTATAAAGGAGATAGGCCTCGTAGCAGTGTGTGTGTTGAGGACACAGATTGTAGAATAACCACTTAACAGAGACAGGATTGCAATTGCTGACCTTTGGGTTAGATGGGGCTCCTTAGTTTGTATGGCTTTGGTTTCTTGGGTATTAAAGGATTTTGGTGGCATCGTTGGCCATTACCCACCAGTTTCTTCTATTCCCCAACAGCCATGAAAAAACACTCTAGCTACTGAGTTAGGAGATAAAAGTCAATAGTATATACAAGTGAACTTTCTCTTCTGAGATGCTTGAGATAAGGAGTTTTCAGATTTTTGTTTGAAACATTTACATAAACTTTATTGGATGAACATCTCTGGTGTGAACTCTTGAAATATGGCAGAGTAGGAAACCCTGGGAGCATTGTGCTAATGAATATAGGTTTCATATTTCAGAGCTTTTGCGTGAGAGATGCCCATTACATACTATTATTTAGCAGGTGATACCATGAGCTGTTTTTCTTGGAAAAAATTGCAATTCCTAGGTGTTTCTGGGACTAGTAGAGACTGTCTGTTTCTTCACAATTTAGAATAAAGTACCTTTGTACTTAATAATCTGGCTCTACCCCAGGCTGTGAAAAGTGGTACACACTAAGTCATGTTTTGCTGGTTTCACTTTGTTAACTGACTTCGTTTGTCACTGTTATAAAAGGGGAGTCAAGACTTCAGGATAGAGTAGTGTGTAATCAGATCTTTGCCACTTGTGTATTCAGATGTAGAGGATATAATTAACTTTTTTTTTTTTTTTTTTCTTCAAAGGGACATGAGAGATGGCTTTAGAAGAAAAAGTTTCTACTCTTCCCATTATTCAAGAGAACGGTCTCCCCATAAAAGGGACACTCCTTTTTTCAGAGAGTCACCTGTAGGCCGGAAGGAGTCCCCACACAGCAGATCTGGCTCCAGTCTCAGCAGTAGAAGCTACTCTCCAGAACGAAGCAGGACGCACTCCTTCCACCAATCTCAGCATCGAAGTAAGTCTGCTTTTCTTGTTTCTTTTTCTCTGAAGTGTTTTCAAGACTGCCTTTCAGACTCCACCAATAAGAGCGTACTGAGTCAGACTGATTCAGAAATGTAGGACGAGGTGTTTTTTTTCCTTGAGTAATTTGAAACACCCGGGATCTTGACAGAATTGTATAGTAAGTACATATGCACACCTTCCTCAATTCTTTGTATGAAATTAGAGTCTGCATGACAATTCATCTTTGAATTCATCAGTGTGTAAAAGATACCCTTTTTATCAAGTCCAAAAGTCAATATGCTCCCATACTTCCTAGTAGTCCAAATCTGAGCTTTACATTAACAGCCTTTGCTGTCTTCTCCCATGCATGGCCTCATGTTGTCTTTCTGGATAGATGTTGTTGGGTTCTTGTGTTCAGCAAATATCTGTAAGTTGTCTATTATTTGTAAAACTACCGTTTATTATTTGCAAAGCAGTGAAGCTTCACAGAAAATATCTTTTTGCATACAGGTGTGTAAATGATGGCCGAAGGAATATCATTTGAGGGCTTGGTGTGGGTAAAAGCAGTTTGTATACAAGTTCTGACCCTCAGAACCTATAAAAAAGAAAAAAGACAGATAGTGCCAGCCTCTCCACTCCTATACAAAGGGAAGCTTGTAGACTTGCTAGCCTGTTGTATACTGTAGTCAGCACTGGGAGAGACATCTCTTACAAAGTAGAAAGCAAGGACCAGCATCCAGAGTTGTTCTCTGAATTTCATGTGTGCCATGACATATCCAAGCCAGTGTTCGCACACATGAACACAGATAAAGTTCTATTTTTTATATTAATTCATTTGATGTGTATGGACGTGTTGTCTACTCCTATGTCTGAGCACCAGACACACTGTGTTGCGGGGAGATTGCAGCAGGAAAAGCCCTTCCTTGTGACCTGGGGTAGTGTGGTGGATGTCACTGCATGATCTCGCCCCACATTGGATGCCAAATAAAGCGGCTTATTTTATTGTTTTATTAAAACATGGTCAGGAGATATTAGAGTAAAATCTGATAGATCCACAACAAGTGATGGAGAAAAGATCAACAACCTCTTTTCTCCACGATTTCCCACTCAAAAAACTCTGTGCCTTTCCTTTGGCCACTCCTTATTCTCTTGTGTGTCCAACAGAAAATTCAGTGGTTCACCCTGGCCAGCTGAATGTGCCTGACTCCTTTGGTGCTCTGGGAGCAACAACAACAACAACAAATCTCTGGCAACAATACTGCTTGTTATGTCTGTGTCTGTCTGGTGCCCAGAAGGGGGCATTAGATTCTTTAGGATTAGAATTACAGATTGTTGTAAGCTACCATATGCATGCTGAGAATTGAACTGGAGTCCTTTAAAACAGCAAGCCCTCTAAACCACTGACCCATCGCTCCAGCCCCTGAAAAAATAATAAAACAAAAACCCTGAAAAATGAAAACAAAGAGCAGTGTACACTGTTATAGCTTAAGAAACTTCTAGAAACTGGGAGTTGTGCTGTAAATGTTAGTGTTAGTGTGCATTTATTTCTTTTCTTTTCCCCTTCTGATCCCCAAAGGCAGACACCCCAATCCCAAAAAGCTTTTAAGATAGTAGATAGACTAACTCTACTAAATGCTATCATGAGTAGAGTTACATATCAAAAGCCACATATCCTTTAACTTCCGGCATCCCTTCCAGGTGTGCATAGCTTAAAGGTAATTGTCTTAACAGTTAGGGGGAAAGGAAAAATATCTTTGACAGCTGGTAATGAAGTCTTAATAAAACAAAATAGTAATGGAAATGAGAGTTTTACTTGATAGCACCTAGTAAAGTCATTAAAGGTAGCCATTGAATGGCAAATGAGCCCCATTTTTTTGTCTGTTTATGAAACAAAATTTTTATTTGTGTTTTGAGACACATTTAGCTATTATCCTAAGCTGTCATTGACCTCATTGTACATCCCAGGACATCTTTGAGCTTTCTGTTGTCCTCCTGTCCCAGCTTCCCATGGGCCAGGCTTAAAGTAGAGTTTTCTGGGGAAGCATTTTCCAGTTTCCACTTTGGGGCTTCAATGGCTCAGACTGTAGAATTAGAAAGGAAGCATTGTGTGGTGTTGGTCAGGATCTCAGGATGTCCCATCTTTAGTATCTGCAGTGATAAACAATATCGAAGAACACAGTGTGTGATAAATAAATTAAGCAGAGCATAGGGATTTAGTTTGGGAGAGTATGGGGAAGGCTGCACACATATTTTGACATGTGTAGACATCATTCAATAACTTTGAAAAAGGTCTGTTTTTTCCTTTCATTGTGTGGCTCTTGGGGATTGAACTTAACCTCATAAGGCATGGCTGAAAATGCCTTTACTCACTGAACCTTCTCCCTGCTTCCGTGCCTGGCTATTTTACAAGGGTACCAGGGATCAAATCAGGTCCTTAAACTTATGAGGTAAGGACATTACTGATGCAACCATCTTTTCCCAGACTTAAGGTTCTTGTATTGATAGTAGTATTGTATTTTTTTATCTGCTGTGTATGTATATGTTCAAGTGCATACATGTCATGGTGTATTGTACAGATGTCAGTACAGCTTGGGGAGAGCAGGCTCTCTTCCACTGTGTGAGTCCTGTGTAATTGCACTCAGGTAGTCGGGACAGGCAAGATTTGTAATTACAAGCCAATTACAAATGATTTTTAATCATTACAATGTAATTACAAATGATTTTTCTCTCATTCTGTTTACTTTGGGAGAGTGCCTCCCATACCCCAGGTTGACTTCAAGCTTGCTGCAAGAGCCTGGAGCTCCTTATCCTCCTAGCTCTGCCTTCTGAGTTCTGTGGGAGTGCATGTGCTCAAATCCTCAGATTGACTTCAGTGCTTTGAAGTTTTGTCTCAGATTCCTAGTGGTGTTGATCTGAATACAGCTGTGAGCTCATCATTTTCAGTCTTTTGGTTGTGCAAATTTCATTGCTAACACTGAAGGGTGGCCTGGTTTTCCTCATCTCCTTATCATTTACAATTTGTTTAGCATTAAATATGACACCAGAACCATCAAGTTTGGTTTCACACCCATTCTTCAAAGTCCTTTACTTTTTTTTTTTTTTAAATCAGTGTATGTTAACTATACTACAGTGCTTTTATTCATGTCTATAATATACTTCGCTCATACTCTTTTCAGCCCCACTTTGTCTCCCATTTCATAATCCCCTTGTTCTTCCCAGGTGGTATTCTTTCTACTTTCATACCCTGTGGTCTAGATTCCACAGATAAGCGCAAATATGCAATTTTTGTCCTTCTTAGTCTAGTTATTTCACTCATTAAAATCTTTCTTGTAATCCTCAAAATTCCTTGTCATCTGTGACATTCCTTTGTATTTTCATTAAAGCTTCTACCGTCAAAGAGTAACCCAGTATAATATCTGTGTTGTGGTGTTTGTTTCTTGAATTAAAATATATCTGACATGTTCTTGCTTGTTAAGCATTGCCCTGAGTTATAGTACTTTGCAAGACATACCCCATAACTTCATCATCGTTAATGTTTTCAGGTTTTGATTTTCTAAAGTATCCTTTGTTCTCATGGGAGTTGTCAAGAATGAACAGTGGTTGTTAAAGTGGGTGAAACTGCTTACATTTATCTTTGCTTTTAGCAGGAAATCCTATCTCAGGAAGAAAGTATTGTTTGAGGGATTGTATTAGATGTATACTTAGCTATTATATGCAAGGAGTCACCAAATACCATCAAACCCTTATAGGACTTAGTATTTCTTCAGTGCATTTAAGTCATGTCTACAGCTTTTAGTTTTACTAAAATACTTTATACCTGGTTTGTAAATCCAATGGAAATTCTCCTTGACTTACAATAGCACCAGTTTCAGTTACAAGTTGAATTATGTCTTAAAAGTGGTAATATATTTACTTATTTACCTTACCTGCTGAGCTTTATAGCTTACAAACACATTCCTCTACACTTTGAGCTGTTAGTCCTTGTGATCAGCATGGCTGATTGCCTGCTATGGCTCACTGCTCCTGTGACTCACTGCTCCTGTGAGCATCCAGTGTATCATGCAGCATGTGTCTTAGTTTCATTTTTTTTTTTTTTTTTTTTTTTTTTTGTGATAAAATGCCCTGGTAAAAAGCAACTTGGAGGAATCAGGACTTACTTTAGTGCAGAGCTTGAGGTTTCAGTCTAAACCTAGGGAGGTCAAGGTGTCAGGGACTGGAAGCAGCCAAATTGTGTTTCTATCCACATCAAGGAGAAGAGCTATGGATGTAAACTCCTATCCATGCTAGAGTTTTGGAGTCTTGGTCTTATGAAGGTTTTGTGAAAAGTTCTTGTGTGTCAGGGCCCTGATGTCTGGAAATGTGTCTTTCCGAACCTCTGGCTCCTACAGTCCTTTCTCTTGGACTTTGGTAGTTGCCTCTTTGAGTTTGACATACTTTAACATAATGGTTTCCAGTTCCACCCATTTTCTTTCAAATGTCATGATTTCTTTTTTACCAGCTGGATACAATTTCACTGCACATAGGTACTGTGCTTTCTTTTTCCATCCATCCATCTTTGGATGGAGGTGTAGGCTGGTTTCATTTTCTGGCTTTGGGAATAATGCAGCAGTAAATACAGATGTGCCAGTATGTTTGTCTATTCAGGATGCTGGAGCATATAATTGAGCAGTCTTAATTCTAGACAGAGGCATCCACAGTGACACTTGACTTCAACTGGACACATGAGGAGGACCTGATTGATTTGGGGCACACAGCTGTAGTGGCCTTTTATCCTGTGGGAGGCTTTAAAGATAGACCTGTTCTCCTGAGTTAATATTAAAGCGATTACACTGAAAATGTGAGTCAGTAACATTCTTGATTGTCCCAGGGACAGTAAGCCTCTGGATCTAGTGTGAGGACTGCCCCAGGAAGGCTTACTATATAGAGTCTGCCTTATAGATAGGGGTAATGCTAGATTGTAAAGATGCAAATTTGGAAAAGAGTGGACCAATAATATTGATTCTTGAGTGGAAGCTTAGTGGGCCATCTCTAAGCGTTAAATTAGATCTCGTTTCTTTCCTGGTAAATGGAGAGCATAAGGCTGCATGGAGATAATACTTCAATTTGAGTAGGCCACACCCATTTCCTACCTGATCTTGGAAATGAAAGCTGGTGATTATTAAAAATCTGTTCGCCAGAAGCTACACATTCTCATTTGCTCAGGATTGGCCTGGCTACAGATAAGACAGTCTTTGTAAATACATCACAAATTCTGAAAAATTTGCTTGCTGATAAAAACAGGCTCAACTAGAAATTGGAGGACTTTGGTCCCAATGTTTGGCCTGATAAAACTTAAGAAGCTTCCACTGAGAGGTTAGAGGGGGTGATAGTTGATTTGATTTGATGAGGTATATATGTAAGCATTCTTTTGGGGTGTCTTGAAGCTATGATCTTAGAGCCTGTTAGAGCCCAGAAGCCTTGGGATCTCACTGGAGAGATAATCCAGCCAGAGTTAATTCAGTTGCTTTTGGGGGCTACTTCCCCCTGGCACCACAAACACCCAGTCAAGAAATGCTAAAGAGAGCATGGAGTGCGCTCGCTAGCTAGGCCACCCAAGTATTCTGATGGGTGAAAAACCGGCTAAGGAGAAAGGGCATTTTATCAGTCCAGAGTTGATAGAGGGTTTGTAGAAAAGAATGTGGTCAGGAGCACAGTGGTTGTGCAAGAGGAGAATCATTCTATAGAGGTGAAGAGAAGCTACCTGACCTTGCCTTCTGGGCCACTTTGGTAGATAAGATGTTGGCAAGCCAAAGATCCTGTTATTATAGAGGGGTTTCTTATTACCAGACAGGCCATTTGGGGAAAAGCTCAAGAGTTATTAGGAATTTCATAGCAGTTTGCTGCATTAGGCACCAAGCAGCTAGGGTCTTGATGGTTAGATAGTGGGGGAGTCTGCTTTTTATTTGGGACCCTTTGTTTTTGGTCTGTCTCTATAAGAATCTTAACAGTGTTTTGAAATTCTAAATATAGCATAATGAAGAGTTCAGCCAGGATGGTAGCCATAAATTTGTGTCTGAGGAAAATCCATGTATGAGAGACTTTGTAAAGAGAATCAGTAAGTTTTTGGTATCGCAATATTAGAGTATTGGTAAACCTGTTATTGAAAAAAACTTTCCTGGCATTGTGATTTATTTCTGATTGTGACTTACCTTCCAGTAAACTGACTGACACCCTCCTTCCCTGCCTGATATGTGATCCTGTCCCACATCTTTGAATGTGAACCTTATGGTTCTTGGATGGCTAAATGATAGATACTACTTAGGCACATCAAGTTTTTATATATCCTCTCATGTTACCCTTGGCTGGTTCTTCTCCTCACACTTCCACTTAGCTAAACTTAATAGAGGAATTACAGTCTTCCTTCTGTATTCTCTGATAGTTTATAATCGAGAAACAAACTGATAGGAGACCTGCAGGAAGACATGCAGTTTATTGTGTGTCCACACGAAGGGCCAGGTAATTGAACGTACATGGTTTCTGAATGCAAGTTACTGGTTTCTGATGGGGAGATGTTAGCAAGCTGTGGGTGTTTAAACAGCTGGATACATGGAAAAGAAAGCTTTTTCTTATTACACACAGTTGTGGGTGAGTTCTGGGTTGCCTGTGTAGTTCTGAGTAGGTGACAGCCTGTGAGTGTGTAATTGGGATTCTGAACTCTAGTCTCCTTTCCTGTGGTAAGATATTTTTACTAGACCGGTTTTTAGGTAATTTACAGGGGCTCATACAAAATCTCTTTTTGCATCTGTTTATTAATCTAGATAATATTCATTTCTTCTGTAAAAAGTTGGTTTTTAGGAACCACTGTTGTCTTTTAGTTCTCTGAGTGACCACTGCAGTGTGCACAGAAGGTTTGCTTCTTTACTGTTCTGTTTTGGTTTTTCCTCAGTTAGGGCTGCTTGGGCAGCTCAGCTTGCAGTGGGGTTGGAGGTGTTTAGGATCACCAGCAAGTGCTCAGAAGTACCTCTTCTCTTTGCTCCTACTTCTGGGTTCTTACCTTGCTCCTCCCAGGCACAGAGGTGCTGGTGTTAACTCCTCCCTGCCACCTTTCCCTAGAGTCTTCGCATGTTGGTGCTTCCTACAAACGACAGAATGAAGCAAATCCAGGAAGAGGTGAGTTTGGAAGTAGGTTTTGGTTTGGAATTTTGAAGGGGTGGGAAGTTTGATTTGAGAAATTATTGAAATGGGGAAAGTATCTTACTACTCTCTGAAGTATGTCACTAGGGTTGGATAGCAATACAGCCAGGAGGTTGGTTGTCTAGGCCAGCCATTTCTAGTCAGGAATGGCCGCCACAGGAGGATAGAGCCTATAGAATAATGAGTCTGTTGGCAGAGGGAGCTAGAGATTTCTACTGACTTTGCAGTTTTTGCTGTTGTCTTTGTTTACGTCTTTGTCCCTCGCTTCTTGCTTGTCCACTCATTTATGAAACAGCTATAAATGAGTGTTTGTGAGAAATAATTTCTTTGCCTTCAGCCATCTTTTGCTTCTGCATACTGAGATTGGTTGGTGTCTGCTTATGTTAACCACTAAGATCTGAAATCATGGAAGATTCTGGGGCTCTGCTTGGTCACAGCTGGCATAGCTACCATAGCAGTGTCCTGTTTGTAAAGCAAAGTTGGAGATTGACAGCTGTTGATTTGTTATCTTTTCTGTCAATGTTGTGTGTTACTTTTTTTTTTCTTCTCATGTTCCAACTAGTGCATGCTAAAATTGAATGTGTAATTGACACCAGGGTTTTGCTCTGGTCTATCCTTGTGATCTTGAAAACAGTTGAGACAAACCAAACAAGGTAGTATGTTCGATAATACGTAGAGTTTATTACAGACTTGGAAGGAACATGCTTGAAGGGTGAGGATGGCCAAAGGGAACATTGTCTCATCTTTATTTAGACATCTTTCTGCTATTTCTAAGGTCTCTAGGACAGAAAATTTACCCAGAAGGGTGTTTTTCTGTTGACAAGCCCATTTGAATTAACTCTTTTTGGTTTTTCAAGACAGGGTCTCTGTGGCTTTGGAAGCTGTCCTGGAACTAGCTCTTATAGACCAGGCTGGCCTTGAACTCACAGAGATCCACCTGCCTCTAACCCTAATCCACCTACCCACCCACTGCTGGGATTAAAGGTGTGCACCACCACTGCACAGGTTGAATTAACTCTTAAGGAAGAGAATAAAGGGTGTGTGTCTGTCTACTTTAGCTCCATAGTGATTTTCAGTCAGTGTGGTTAGTCAGAATGTCAGACTTCATTCAGGGCCAGAGATGGGACTATGGATGCCATTCTTGGACCCAAAATCAAGAATTTGCCAGTTTTAGTTCTTAGTTTTACAACGAGAAAGAGGTTCTTCCATAATAACTGACTTCTGACCTCATGTACAACTAGCTACCTAACATAATTATGCCTTTATTTAGCTTGTACTGTGCTGGTTAGCAGAACAGGGTGGAGATGACATTGTAACTTCAGTGTGAAAATTAAGTTGGTTTTCTACTTGACTTGGAGTACTTACATGTGTTCTTAAGTTCTCAGGTTATGTAAACCATCTAAATTCATGATACTTATTCCTTTAGGACAGGGCTTATAGACCTTCCTAATGCTCTGACCCTTACTACAGTTCCTCTTGTTGTGATGACTCCCAACCATAAAAGCATTTTGTTGCTACTTCATAACTGCTGTTATGAGTCATAATGTAGATATGATATGCAGAATATCTGCTATGTGATGCCCTAAAGGGGTTTCAACTCAGAGATTGAGAACCATGCTCTAGGAGCTTTGGGCAACAGGACAGACTTTACAATGCAGCAAACAATGTGCCACATGCATTGGGAATACAGTAAGGAATAACTGAATTATGTTCTTGGCTATTGGAAGGTGTCATGATGACTGTAACAGGGTTGTCTTGTTTTGTTTCACCAAGTAATTTATTTATTTTAATAATAGGTTCTCACTATTAGCCTTGGGTAGCCTGGTACCATAAGTTCTGTCTTTTACAAAAAACAGTTGAAACTTCAGAATTGGGACATTAAATTTAAGAATAGGAGTTTCTCCCTCAGCCTCAATGACATTGGAGCTGGATGATAGTTAAGGATGATGGGTGGGACTATCCCCCATACAAAAGTCTTCACAGTATCCTCAGCCTGTGGTTTTATATGCCAAGTATTCTATCACTGAAAACAATCAAGAGTGTTTTTACACATTACACTTTGCCCAGAGCCAGGGTGGGAAGGACAAACTGCCACTGGCTGAGAGTCACTGGCCTTTTCAGGACCTTGGGGAGAGGTGTTTAATATGGAGGTGATTAGAAGCCTGAGTCTCTAGAGCTTGCTTAGCTATGGCAGGAAGCTTGTGGAACCTCTGATTAAAGCTGGCATTGCTGCACTCTGCAGGTGACGTGGTGTCTGCTTCTGCTATTGCCTGCTTTCTGGGCTCTCTCCCCCTTTCTAGGCTTTAGCAGCATTTGTGTGGCCACTTTCTAGAACAGCTTTGTATTATTTGTATGTTTAGTTTTCCAGAATTTAAGATTATAGGATTAATCTGACATTAAAAGTTTAATTAGCTAACTAAAAAACTAAAATTAAATAAATTTTTGGTTATTGAACTTACTAGTATAATAATGTTCATATATTTTCTGGCTTATGTTTCTGCTAAAAATGGTTCCATGCAACATTATGTGAGTATATGAAGTAACTAATGATGGTGAGTTTATCTTATAGAAATTTATTTTAAACAAACAATTGTTAACATCATTTATGCCAGGTTCTCTATCAGTGCTCTGAATTAATGGGTTTCTAAATTCCTTTCAATAGTGTGAAAGTTTTGGGACTATCTGCTAAATTTCCTGTGTATAGTACTCTTTGGACTGCTTTTTAACTGATTGCCCTGTGGTATCTACATACTAACTGTAATAACATTCAGTGTGTTTATATTATGATATAATATGGTTTATATATTGCCCAATGTCAGGGTGGGAGGGACAAAACTGCCCTTGGCTGACAGCTACTGGTATAGAGTGACTTGCTATCTTCAGGACCTTGGGAAGAAGTGTTATATAATACCGCCTGAGGTGTTTAGAAGCCTAAGTCTATAGAACTTGCTTAGACGTAGCAAGGAAGCTTGTGGAGCCTCTAAAAATGTATTTAGCCCTTTTTAGCATTTCCATGATTACAGTTGCTAACTGGCATTGGTGTGTCATCGATGCTATAGAGGATATTTTATTCTACATTACTTTAATGTTTTGTGATATTACTGAGAGAGGTAGATTAGATGTTTATATAGTACTATGGTGAGAACTGACAGTATTAGAGTACATATATGGCTTTCCTTATTAATTGGAAACATGTAAGCTAGAAAATTGAATCTTATGCTGTTTCACGTTGTCTATTCTTTCTTGCCATTGTTATGTAGGTAAAGAGAGGTCCATCCAGTCTTTGAAAACATCAAGAGATACTTCACCCTCAAGTTCTTCAGCAGTTTCTTCATCCAAGGTTTGTTATTTTTCTAAAGTTAAGTAGAACTACATTGTACAGATAATGGGTTGCCCAGCATAAATATTATGTGTACCCATGGTGCTAAATTGAAAGCTTGAATTTTAAGTCATCATATCATATTATAGAGGCCAAAATAAATGATCATTTTTTCTCATTGATATTTTTCCATAGGTTTTGGTAAGGTTAGTATTTGTTGCTGTAGTCTTTGCTCATCTTCACCATATCCAAGTGGGAATGCATAGTTAGACAGGGTGTGTATTCATGGGATTTGCTTTTATTTGGGGCATTGAGGGCATAGGTAGAAGCTTAACATGTATTTAAAACTATTCTATTCTTGATATGTAGTATGTCCTCTCAAGTAACCCAAACAGAAACTCTATAGTTAGTTTTAAATCTCAGTTCTATAGGAAACTAAAGTTCCAGAAGAAAAAATAATTTCCTCCAAGTGGTAGATGTTTCTCCCATACCATTCTTTATTCATATTTGCCACCATCTCAAACTGTTTTGGAAAGATAGAGCTGTATGTCTTTACTTAGTTACCTTTATTAGTCCTTGACTTTTTTTCCCTGCTTGTTTCAGTTACTCTTCCACTTTTTTTTTCTTTTTTAATAATGTTTTTTACTTTATCAGCAATACTTACTGCCTGCCAGTCTGCCGTTGGTCTGTGGGGATAGCACTTTCTGAGAGGAAAAGAGAACTTTGTGTTCTCAAACCTCTAAGAATTGAGAAATGTCGGGCTGTTTTTTGCTGTGTTTTGTGGCATGAGTGGACTTGAGGTTATTGCCCTTGCAGACATTTGACATATTTTTCCAGCCCTAGAAAGCCAGCTCTTTGAAAAATGTGTATTTAAATTTGTTTTTGAAATTGGATCTTACTACGTAGTAGCTTAGGCTGGTCTTGCTAATCCTGCAACAGCCTCCTGAGTTCTTAGTTTAGCTTCTCAGCTGAGGATTTTTTCTTGCAAACATTATGGCTTTGGGAATATATTTTTTCAGAGTTTATTTTTTGCCATTAGAAAATAGTTCCATGTGCTGAAGCACACTCAGTAACAGATGAACAGATTGAAAAAATCCTATGGTAGGATTTCTTTATATTTTACAAGAACTCCTAAGTCATTAGCTTGGTTTTGCTCTATAACTCTCTTGAAATTAAGTATGCATTATTTTCTTGGATAGGTGATGGTGTTCGAAATAGGGCTTCTCGGTGTAGCTTTGAAACCTGTCCTGGAACTTGCTTTGTTGACCAGGCTGGCCTTGAACTCAGAGATCACCTGCCTCTGCCTCTTGAGTGTTGGCATTAAAGGTATGCCTGCATTTTATGCCCATGATCCCAGCACTCAAAGGCTAAGACAAAGAAATTGCATAAACATGAACTAACCTTGGCTACAGATTGTGAGACTGTTGTAAAAACAAATAAACAAACCTAAGGGATAAAAACAAAATTGTCTGGATGGGTAGAGAATTGAAATGAGAGATTTAAGCTTATTTATTGGCTATGCAATATACTTTGGAGGTACATTTCAAGTTTTCTCTTTGTCTTCTGAAGCATTAATAACATTAATTTGTGATATAAGCTGATAATAGAGAATCTGTAAAAAAGAAATCTTAAAATTTGTCTGTGTGCATGGGAGCATACACAAGCATCAGCCCCTCGTTGATCCTGTGTCCTGCAGCACACAAAGGCAGGAAAGCTTAGGGTTTACTTTGGTTGGCTGCCTTTTTTCTTTTTGAAAAGATTATTTTTCAGTTATGCGTGTGTGGGTACATGCACTTGAGTGCTAGTGTCACAAATGAGAGACTTTGCACCCTTTGGAGCTGGACTTAAAAGCGATTTCATGAGCCAAGCACATGGGTGCTGGGAACCAAATTCAGGTTCTCTATAAGAGCAGTATGCAGTCTTGGCCATTTTAGCCATCTCTCTAGCCACCAAAGCTATATTGTGCAGACCAGTTTTCCCAGGTGGAAGTCTCTGAAGACCACTGTGGTGGCCTCTCTGTAGGTTAAGTGTCCTGTGAAAATATTTCCTAGGCAGTCACCGGTATCTTAGAGAAAGCCTCTTTTTATAGCTTTTGTTCACTTTGCTTTTGTTGATTTCTTGCTATAAAACAACAGGCAGCTTTTTGGGTTTCCTGGGTTTACAGAGTCCTGCAGTTTCTCTGAATAATTAAGTCAAAATAGTCAAGTATATTTAGAGCAAAATATTTTCTCTCACACAATGCTGTACATACACACACAGATTCTCTCTCTCTCTCTCTCTCTCTCTCTCTCTCTCTCTCTCTCTCTCTCTCTCTCTCTCTCTCTCTGCCTGTCTGTCTGTCTCTCTCTCTCTCTCTAAATATAACCCATGGCCATCCTGTCCTTTGGATAGCTTAATCAGGTATAGATGAAGCTCATATAGCCCTTTCTGTCCGTATTTATTTGGTGAGTTTAAACAAATTGTTTTGTTCTGTATCTTAATTCGAGGTGAGGAGGCCTGCCTGGATCCCTTCCATGGAGTTCTATCAGAGTGCTCTTTGGTCTGTGTAAGGTCTTCATTCATGGCAGTGCACCAGTACTGCCAAGGTGGTTTTCTCTTTTTATTTTCACTGCAGTATTGGATAGAACTAGTGCAGTGTGCATTTTATAAAAGGTAAGCGAGCACTACCTTGGTTTACCTAATAGGCTGGGTAGTCTGACTGGCAGCATGCTAGAGAGGCTGAGAACCTGAGCTGCTCAGTCCACTAGGCTGGATGCCTGAGTGGTTCCAGACCATTGCTAAGGCCTGAAAGATTACTGGAAAATTGCCAATACTAAATCTGGCATGGAAGTCCAGAGAAACCAGGTTCAGATGTCCATGGAAGACAGCAGCTGCAGCATTACCTTTTCCCTGAACCTCTGCATATCTGGGCTACCTATTTGAAGTCCCTGTGAGCACAGGTCTTCCCCACTCAGTCAGTCCTTACTGAAAGCAGCCTTATGAACCCAACAGGCATATTTCTTAGTTGATGCCATATCCCTTCAAGCTGCCAGTCAAGATTGATCATCACAGACAGACCATCATCCTCCCTCTAAGGAGGGAGATGTTGGTAGTCAGTGACACACTCTTAGAGGAGTAAGAGGTAGGGGCGTCAGGGTCTCATTGGTGAATGTTGTTCTAGGAAATAGGGTGGAATCAGAATGCTACCATAAAGGTTCAGAAGATAGGCTTTAGAATCTGTGCTGTGTGCTTCACTCATTCATCCACAACAAAGGCCCTTATTGGGATTGTGAGTGAGCCCGAAAGACTTTTCTTTGTCTTTGTTTCCTCCATGATCTCATTCAGCTTTTCCAACTTAGTCTCAGTATAATAAATTTATGGCAATGAATATGGAAAAGAGAAAGGACCAGATATTATTATACTCCTTATCTTTATTCTCACAAGTGCTTTGTAAAAAAGGAAATAAGTCCCATCTAACAGGTGATTTAAACCACACTGCATGCCAAGATTTGCCTGTAGCTCCAAAGCCTGTGCTTTGATTATATCGTATTTGGTCAGAGAAAGTAGCATTATGTCAAAACAAGGAAATTTAAGTTTTTACATTCTTGTGCAAGGAATGTGACTTATAATTTACTACAGATAATAAAGATGATGTATCTGGGCTTTTCTCATGCATTAAGAATTGACCTTAGGGGTGGAGAGATGGCTTAGCAGTTAAGAGCACTGGCTGTTCTTCTAGAGGACCCAGAGTTTGATCCCTTCTACCTGCATGGTAGTTCAGAATTCTCGGTGAATCTAATTCCAGCGGATCTAGTTCCCTTGTTCTGGCCTCGGGACAGTGGAGCACATGCATATAGGCAGGCAGAAACACACACACCCACATCAAAATAAGCAATAAATCTTTTTTGAGACAGATTTACTGTAATAAAATTTAACCATTGTTTTATTTTATTTGGACATAGTTAACGATAAAAAGATGTCATAGGTATGATGCTTGGTTGTTTGTTTTTTCATCCGAGACAGGGTTTCTCTGTGTAGCTTTAAAGCCTGTCCTGGAACTCACTTTGTGGACCAGCCAGATCCGCCTGCCTCTGCCTTGATGATAGGATTAAAGGCAAGCACCACCACTGCCTGTCCAATTTGTCCTGTTTTTTGCATTGACCCTTTAGATGTGGGCTTGAAGTTTTATGCAAATGAAATTGTGAGTGGTATGTAGTCTATGTGTCCTAAAGGAATTGCTACTTAAAGGATTCTGGGCTGAGTTTTGTGACTCCCTGTGTAGCTGTGGCTGGCCTGGAACTTGTAGTTCTCCTACCTCAGCCTTCCTTGTTCTAAGATTACATATGTTGTCTTGCATGGCTCTCTGCTGAATGTTTTTGAAGGAGTGAAAAGGAAATATATTTACTCTCAGTTCATTCTGCTTCTTGATGGTAGAGGCCTTTAAGTAACACTAACAAAGATGTCTCTTTATTTCTGTTAGGTGTTAGACAAACCTAGCCAGCTAACTGAGAAGGAACTTGCTGAGGCTGCAAGCAAGTGGGCTAATGAAAAGCCAGAGAAGGCAGATGAAAATAACTTGACTGAGATTTCTGAGTTTGAGGTATGATTTAATTTCACCTTTATGTTTCACATCTGAACGCTTCATCTGTATTTTAAGCTGGATGGAAGTCTTGGGTAGTACCCTACCTACACCTGGAATCCCAGCATTTAGGGATGCAAGTAGAGGATCATCACGGTCATCATCAGAGCATCCCACAGGTCATCCTGGGATCCTACCTTTTAAAAAAAGGCAGTGTAAAATGAGGAAGAAAAATGTATTTGCTTTGTTCTTATACCTCAACAACAGGTACTTGAAAAGAATACCTTTATAGGTTATTGAATTTACAACACAAAGTGGAGTGTGAAAAGTATATTTTGGGGTGATTTTAATGGAGGCCTTTTTTTTCCCTCCTTCTTCCCAATTTTGCTTTGCTTCTCCCGGCCCTTTTGCAGTCTGGGGATCAAATTGAGGGCCTGTCTATTGTTGATTATTATTTTACTCTTTGGGGGCCCTCCACCCAGCTCTCAAGTACACAGAATTATTCTTACTTATGAATGCCCAGCCTTAGTTTGGTTGTTTCTAGCCAACTTTTCTAACTTATTCATTTCTCTTTAACTATGCTTTGCCCTGGGCTATTTAGCTTCCTTTATTTTATATATCTTTACTTCTTATACAATGGCTGGCTGTGTGGCTAGATGGCTGACCCCTGGAGTCCACCTCTCCTTCTGTTTTTCTAGCCCTCCTCCTTTTGAGCCTAGATTTCTCCTATTCTGCCTGCAAGCCCCACCTATCCCTCTCCTGTCTGTTGGCATTTCAGCTCTTTATTAGGCCAGTTAGGTGTTTTAGGCAGGCAAAGTAACACAGATTTACAGAGCTAAACAAATACAACATAAAATAATGCAATACATATTTGCATAATTAAATAATATTCCACAGCATGAAGAAACTTAAACTGGTATTCCATAACACCTGCCTGTCACGTTTCCAATCCTCTTGGAAGGTCTTATGATACATGAAGTTAAAAGTGTGTATAACAATAGTATACTATCCCATATCTTCATGCATGATAAAATAATTATTTTTCAGATGTCTACTATATAATTTGCATGAGTCAAATGTGTGGACAGTCGAGTCCAGAAAAACATGTTTATGGAATCTGGATTTTTTTCCTTTTGTTGGTTTGTTATTTGTGAGCGAGAGAGATGAGAAATGCTGCCTTGTCATTTAGATACTAATTTTCTCTTAAACAGGTCAAAGTTTTCTTGTTATTTTAGGGCAATAACAGATATTTTTAGTATACTTAAGTAAATGCATGGAACTTATCAAGCTGTTATTCTTAGTACGTGGTAATATTTGAAGCATAGACAAGTTCTTTTCAGGCATCATGACCCCAAAGCAGGTAGTCCTGGAGTCTAAGAAGACAGGCCGAGCGCATATACAGAATTATATAGTTTGCAAATAAGGATAATTTAACTTCTTTTTCTATTTGTATCTCTTATAGTCTTTGCTTGTCTTGCTGCCCTACATGGAATAGTAGTGTACTCAGTAGACACCCTTGCCTTATTCCTGATCTTAATGGGACACTGAGTTTTTCTTCATTTAACGCCATGTGTCTGGCAATAGGTTTGTTTACACAGACTATCTCTACTGTGTTAGAGGTGTGCTCTGTCTGTAAAGTCACCAGGACTTTTATCGGGAAAGGATGCACTTAATGAGATGATCGTGTCATTTGTGTTAGAGGTATTTATTTTATGAACAATATTTATTAATTTACATAATTTAAACCATCCCCACATTTCCTTAATGAAGCCAGCTTGGTCATGATAAATAATCATTTTGATATAATCTTAAGTTCAGTTTTCCAATATTTTGTTGATAATTTTACATCTTTGTTCATCGGGGACATCAGTCTAGCTTTTTGTTGTTGTTTTTGTTTGTTTGTTTGTTTGTTTTTTGTCTTTAGTTTTAGTACCAAGGTAATACTGGCTTTATAAAAACAGTTTGGAAGACTCCCTCCCCCCCCATTTTATGGGATAATTTTAGTAGTATTACTATTCTTCTGATAGAATTCTGAGTTGTGTATATCTAGTCTTGGGTCTTTATTAGTTGGAAGACTTTTTATTCTCCGATCTCATTGCTGGTAATGGATCCATTTCAGCTGTTTGTTTCATCTTTGTTTAATTTTGGTATGTTATATGTATCTAGAAATTTATTCTTTTTTAATTAATATTTTTATAATTTAATATATTAGAGGCATATTTTATTTATTTATTTTATGAGTGACAGTTTTTGTCTAAGTGTATGTGTGTGGTATCAGCAGAGGCCAAAAGTGTGTATTGGATCTCTTGGGATTGGACTTACAGTAACTCCCACACATGAATGCTAAGAATTGAACCCAGGTCCTCTGCAAGAACACTCAGTGCTTCTAACCCTTGAGTCATCTGTCTAGCCGCTAATATAACAGAGTTTAAAAAGTATATCCTTATGATTTTCTTAATTTCTTAGGTATCTGTTGTTATGTTTCCCTTCTCATTTCTAGTTTTACTAATTTGGATTTTCCTTTCTTTCTCTTGTTTAATCTGGCAAAATATTTGTTACTCTTTAATTTTTTTCATAGGACCAGTTTTTATTTGAATCTTTTACTTTGTGTATCATTAAATTCAGCAATTCAATGATTATTTTAAAAAGGATTAAAATGGAGAATTTTTATTAGTACATATTAATTATATGAAAGGATTTCCATTTTTTTATTCACATATTTTTATTCATATATGATTCTTTGATCATATTTATGCCCCATTATATTATTCTTCCTTAATCCTTCCTGTTGCTCTGTTTTAATTTTTTTATTCATTTTCCATTCTTTGAAAATTTCATACATTACAACATAGTATGATCATGTACACTTCCCATATTGAAGGCAGTCATCATCACTGTTTGGGACTAATCTGGATTACTTACTCACTATTGGGTTAATCCTTGCTGCCTTGTCACATCCTTTCTAATGGTTGTGAGTAAAGGAGCAAGGTGTTTCTCTCGTGAGGGTGGAGTGTGTTCCCATGCCCTCTCTTACCGAGCTCCTTTGTGTGAGCTTGTGCTCTCATTCATATTGGATTTTTTTCTTCTTGTGTGGTTCATAATCCATGAATAATGTTTAAGGAATAGTCACAGGACAAAACCTTTTAGCTGTATCTTATTCTGTATTTATGTATTTATCATATTTTAAAATGTTGGAAGGCTTAGTCTCATCAAAAATTCAGAAAAGTAGAATAATATCCTCCAGTCTTCATTACATATGCTCATTATGTGTTATGACATTATATATTTTCTTTTCTTAAAATTAAACAGCACTTCCTTTTATATAATCTTCTGTTAGTGACCACATATGCCATCTCAAATACTCTTGTGTTCTTTAAGAAATAACTAAGGACTATCTCTGTTTTTAAGACGGGATCCACGGCACCCTTATTTATCGATCAGATAGAAGAACCCGAGTCAAACACAACAGATGGCACAGAATTGTATGAAGACAACCAGATTAGCAGTCGCTCTAAAGCCATTGCATCAAAAACCAAAGAGATTGAACAGGTAAGAACGCACTCTTCTAGTAGACAGAGCTCTTGGTTTCTATCACTATGCACTTAAGTATTCGTGCTGGATAAACTGGTTTGTCTTTTCCTCTTGTAACTCCAAAATTCCCATTGAATATGTGTAGACATGAGAAGACAACCTCGGGTGTTCTTTGGGACTCCCCCACTTTTTTTTTCTGTGACAGTTCTCCTTAGTCTAGAACCAATGAAGTGGCCTACATTGGCAAGTCAGGAAGACCTAAGATGTACCAGTCTCCATCTCCTTGCAATTTCTTTGTGTTTCAGAATTGGGCCTCATGCTGTAGCCCTGGCTGGTATGGAACTGAGGCGGTCTTTTAAATCTTGCCACCTCCTGTTTCCCATACACTGGGCTACTCCTGGGAGCTACTACATCAGCTTTTTTTTTTTTTTTTTTTTTTTTGCCTTTAAATTTACTGGACACGTGTTTGCTTCCTTGTCTCTCTTTACCATAGCAGAGACTTCACAGAGCAGGGATGTTGTCTTGTTTAGTGGTAGCTATATCTACCACTTAAGCAGTAAGTCATGTATGACAGACTCAGAAAAGTGCTTTTTGGTCATAACCTTGACTTTGAGTGGTTCAAGATCAGAGGTTGTCTTATGTTACTACCTACTTCGCTTAGGCTTCATTCCTAATTAGGTGTGATCTAGGTGTTATTTAAGAGCATAAATGGTTTAGTGATATTCTCTTTCTTCCCAAGTTGAAACTCTCTCTCTTTAAGATTTATTAATTTTTATTTTGTGAGCTCTTATATATGAGTGTGTTGCCTAAATGTGTGTGTGTGTGTGTATCACATGTGTGCCTGGTGCCCTCAAAGGTCTGAAAAGGGTGCTAGATCCCTGGAAATGGAGTTACTATGTGGGTGTTGGGAGTTGAAACCAGGTCCTCTGGAAGTTGTAGGGTTTGGGGTTTTGTTGTTATTATTGTTCTTTTTGAGACATGGTTTCTCTGTGTAACTTTGGCTGGCCTGGAACTTGCTGTGTAGACCAGGCTGGTCTTGAAATCACAGAGATTGCCTGTGTCTGCCTACTGAGCACTGGGTCAAATGTGTGTGCTGGCCAGCACCACCCTTCTATAGTGTTTTTAAGGACAAGTTCTCTTAACAATGTAACTGTAAGAAACACTTGATTGAAATACTAAGTGTTTTGTGTTGTCATTTGTGAATGTTTTCACTATTTCTTCATACTGTTATTCATAGCTGGTCTCTTTCATTGGGAGAAAGTTATCAGTAAGATATACAATTTAGCTTGATGATACTGAAAATTAGCATGAAGCCAATCTTTATAGCTCTCTATGGAAACCTACATGTTTGAGCTTGAGAGACTCTTTAGAGCTGCTGTTAAAGCACACAAAATAGCCACTAGTAGAACATGCTGAAACTATTGCAGGATGGCAAGAAATAAAGGAAGCCTGGTATGGGTATGATGCTTCACACTTTTAGTTCCAGCACTCGGGGACAGAGGTAAGAGGATCTCTGAGTTCTAAGCCAGCCAGAGACTCTGTCACAGAGGGAGTGAAAAGACAGTAAGAGGATGAGGAGGGGAAAAGGGATGAGGTGGGGATAAAGGAAGAAAACAGAATTACTACATTTGGTGTTAACTAGAGGAGTAAAGGAGTAAAATTGTTACTGAAAAAGTTACATATTAGCTGGGCATGGTAACAGGTACTTGTAATCCAAATTTGTGGGAAATGGATGCAGAAGAACAATAAGTTGATAAGTCTGAAGTACATCCTGCCATGAAAAGGTCTCTGCTAGAGACTTTGCTTTTACACCTGGGCAAGGAGTAAGGTCAGAATCCCCCAAATTTAGCTAACACATGATAATAAATATATGTATAAAACTATTATTAATTTTTAAATAGAGGAAATACTCTTCAGGATTTTTTTCTAATTTAAGTATTAAATATCAATGGATAGAAGGTCTGAAAAGCAAGATGATAGCTATCTTGGTGTTCAGTAATACCTCTTTATATTATTCTTTTTCATGGACATGAATTGTTTAAAATATTTTAAATGAACAATAGCAATTAGCCTATGTGTATGAGTGTTTTGCCTTCATGTATGTCTATGCACTGCATGCATACCTGGTGCCACCAGAAGCCAGAAGAGGGCATCAGATCCCTAGAACCGGAGTTAGGGACACTTAGTTGTGAACTACCATGTAAGTGCTGGACTTGGACCCAGTTCCTCTGAAAGAACAGCCAGTATTCTTAGCTTCTGAACCGTCTCTCTAGCTCCCCTTGGGTTTTAAAACTGAGGCAATATTATAGTTTAAATGAAAATTCCACTTCAGAATTTCATAGTGACCACTGTGTAGCAGTTCTTAATGTCTAAAAGCAGGTACATGGGGTAGACTGTCACAGAATTACCTCAGTGTAGGGACATACAGTTTTGATGTATTGTCACTATGTCATCCCTGGACATTTGAGAATTTTATTAGGTTTAAGGGTATTGGCGATTTTTTTTTTTTTTATAAAAATAAAAGATTCAGATTAGAATTAAGTATAGGAGAGTGCTAGTATACTTTCTCCATCCAGAAGGTACTCAGTCCTGTCTTAGTGTTGTAGAGATGAATAGTTTCAAACCATCCCATTTTTCTTCAGCATTCTGTGTTAGGTATGGTTTATTTTATTACTCTAGCTCTTTTGGCTTCCTTATGCTTTGGATCCTAGGCATTCTCATTTCCCCTCGAGTATACTAATTATCCTTAACCAAGGTTGCTCCATCTTCCATGCTAAATTATTGGTCCACTTTCCTAGGCTTTCCTGGGTTCTAAGTTTAGAGCACAAGTTTTAGACTTTCTCCTGGCCTTTTATTAGTTCTGAAAAGATGTAGTCCTTAAGGTTATGCGGGATTCATTAATTCACATGTTTGTCATCAACCCCTAGACTAAGAGATGTCCTACAAACTACCACACATGTATTGTAGCCACTCATCTAGATAGCTGCTGAGTGGCTAGAATTCAGTTATATATAAAACTAGTTTTACAGAGGAAATAGAGCCTCTGGTTGTTTACCTTCAAAGCCACAGTTCTTGCTTTATATTCTCAGATGCTATTTCATAAGATGGAGGGTCAGGGAGATGGTTCAGTGGGAAAAGGTGCTTTGTAACACATGTCTGACAACCTGAGTTCAATTTCAGAACCCATGTGAAGGCGAAAGAACCAAGTCCAAGGAGTTGTCCCTGCATAGTAAAGTTTTAAATTTTGTAAAAATTCTGGTAGGTACCAGAACTCCTTAAAAACACTTGTTGGTCACTTGAATATTTCATTAAAAGTCATGTTCTTACTCAGTAGGTCTGAGTAAGGGTGTTACTCAGTGGACCGTTAAGATTTGAATTTTTTCACACATTCCTGTTTAATCCTGATTCTGCATCTTGTGTTTAGAATAAAATAATTAGGTAAAGATACTTTTTTAGTTAAATGTTAGTTCTTATGTGCTTAAAAACACTTGTTGGTCACTTGAGTATTTCATTAAAAGTCATGTTCTTACTCAGTAGGTCTGAGTAAGGGTGTTACTCAGTGGACCGTTAAGATTTGAATTTTTTCACACATTCCTGTTTAATCCTGATTCTGCATCTTGTGTTTAGAATAAAATAATTAGGTAAAGATACTTTTTTAGTTAAATGTTAGTTCTTATGTGCTGGAAACAACCTTAATGTTATGTAGCTTACAAAAGTTGCATACAGTTAATGAACGAATAAGATGTTTAACCTAAATATTGAGTTGAATGATTTTGACAGTTGTGTGTTCATAGAACCACATTTTAGGTAATGACATAAAGGAGCATGGCATTTGAAAGCCAGGACACAATGCTGTGTAATGTTTCATTCTAACTGAAAACTTCACCAGTGTTCCTCAACATACAGATGTGTTGACAAAAAGTTGATATACACATGCTTGTGATAAATATAGAATATAGTTAAGAGAATTTCAGATGTCTTATGATGTAGACTTAACCACAATAAGAAAGTATCTCTAGGGTCAACAAGATGGCTCAGTGATAAAGGCTCTTTGAGCCAAGGCTGATAACCAGATCATTTGATCCCAGACACTCTATGATGGAAAGAGAAAACCAAGTTGTCTGACCTCTACGTGGTATGTGTCTCGCTTGCACACACAAACACCCAAAGGAATCTATGGTTGGAAAAATAGTCTATAAAGAAAGAAGATATACTTGACTTTTAAAAAATATTTTCTGAGTGATGTACGCCTTTGATCCCAGCACTTGAAAGGCAGAGATGGGTGGATCTCTGAGTTCAAGGACAGCCTCTCTGGTGTTGGGATTAGAGGTGTGAGCTCTCTTACTTTTAAACTGATTCAATCTCCTGTGGCCCTGGGTGGGCTTGAACTAATTACAATCCATCTACCCCTTAATCCTGAGTCCTGGGATTAAAGGTGTGTGCCACTAGCTAACTAGTTTGACTGGCTTTGCAAACTGATCTACAGTGACTTTATTAGATCATAAACAATAAATATATCACCACAGTTCTGGAACTCGCTTTGTAGACCAGGCTAACCACAAACTCACAAGGAGCCTCTGCTTCCCAAATTCTGGGATTAAAGGTGTGTGCCACCACTGCCGCTGCCGCCACCACCACCACCACCTGGCAGGAGTGATACCATTCAACATAAGCACGTTTACATGCTGAACAGCAGGAATCTTTTACTAAGTATTCAGATAAAGCAATCTAACGGAAACACTGAAGCTGTAGTTTTCCAGAGCTTGTGGCCTGAGAAAACTGCTGTTTAGTGCTCTATTTTAGAAACTTCCCATGACTTCCCAAGTCTTTAAGTTTCATTCCCGTTTTCACACAGTACTTGCTTGCTGTTGAAAGATCTGTGGTGTTTGTCTTGGGAAATGCATTGCATGTTCATATTTGCATCCACTTGCAGTTGATGCCAGGGTGACCGGTACTAGAGTTCCCTTATGGCCTAAGGCACAGTGACAGCCTGTAGATAGCCAGGTTGGATGGATGAA